GGGACCAAGTTTCTAACACATAAAACTTGGGGGACACAATTCAAGCTTCAGTGAGTTTCAGGGGGACATAATTCAATCCATCACACACACACACACAAATGAAAATATATAAAACTAGGAAAATCTGAATAAGAAGGGTGGACTGTCAATATGATATCCGTGATATTGTATTACAGTTTTTCAAGATGCTACTATTGGAATAAACAAAGTAAGGGGTACATAAGATGTCTCTTTTCATAATTTCTTACAAGTGCATATGAATCTACAATTATCATTCAGTTTAAAATATTTTATATTCTTTGTGATTTTTTTTGACCCATGGAGATATATATACTTAATTTGCAATTTGGGGATGTGCAGAAACATAGTTAACACAGCAGGCCTGAGACTGCTATCTTAGAAAGACCTGCTAACAAGGTTGGCCGTTGGCTGGTATCTGGGAAATTAGATTTTGGGAGTGTTCTCATCAGTCTGTAACTGATAAGAGTGGTTCACTATACCTACACTGTTTATACAAATAAGTGGTTTATGATAAATACCTGCTTTTCTCCTGGGGGTCTGGAATTTTGGTACATGCTAGTCAGAGGGTGCCTATGTGACTGACCTTTTGATAAAAACCATGCACACCTAGGGTCATGCAAGCTTCCCTGGTAGACAACACCTCGCATGTAATGTTACAATTCATTGCTGCAGTAACTGCTTCCCGTGTGACTCCACTGGGAAGGACGCTTGGAAACTTGCATCTGTTTTCCTCAGGTTTGTTCCATGCTACTTTTTTCTTTGCCCATTTTGCCTTGTACCCTTTCCTCTGCTGTATCCAATTTTCTGTTAAGTCCTTCAGATAAAATTTTTATATCTGATATCACATTTTTCACTTCAACATTCCTATTTTTAAATATAGTTTTCATTTCTATGCTAGAATTCCTCACCACACATATTGTCCACCTTTCCTACTATCTCTTTAAACATACTTTTCATATTTATTTTAAAGTATTTATCTTCTAATTCAACATCTGCACCATCTCTGCAGATGATTGAATCATCTCTGTGGATGATTCTTCTCTTGTCCTTGGGGCACACATCCTTCCCTCTTTGCATATATTATATATTTTTTTTATTGTATGCCAGCCACTTTGTGAAAGGAATGATCAAAGCTGAAGTAAAAATCATTTGTCCCCAGAAAAGGCACACCCATTCTCCTATCAGGCTAGCAGTATGAGGGTCTAATCTGTAGTTACCTGGGTCTAAGCTTTGGTGCAGGCTTAGTAAGTATCTGTTCAACACTAGCTTTGAACATTGTGAGAGTGGGAATCAGACTTTCTCTTGATCAGGAAACACTGATGAGACTCTGGAGATCATGCTTTATAACCTGGCCAGGAGCTTATTCGACTACGGGAAATCTCTATCTGCTTTATAATCCAGCTGCCTGGTTTGGGATAACTGGTGACTTTTCTTTTCTCCCCAGTCCCACTCTGGCTTTCTGTGCTTCAGTAACCTCTCTTTCCTGCTGCCCCACCCCATCCTTTGGAGTGTAGCAGCATAGCTCTTCCTGTCTTGGAGAGAGTTATCCCAGTGCTCTATTACCCTTCCCTCAGCCTTCAGCAAGTCATAGTCTTGCACTTAGAGAAGGCCAGGTCTCAAGGGGCCTCTCTCAGCTTTCTTACCTCACTCTCAGTCTTTGGTATACTACCCCCATGCATTGGTGAGGGCTCACGGGAAAGGGCTGGCAGGTAAGCAGTGACTCACTCTGTGGCTGATGCTTGTCTGGATTCTAATTTGTCATGCAATCCACAGAGGTACATGAAAAGATGTTCAACATCACCAATCATCAAGGAAATGCAAATCAAAACCACGTTGAAATATCATCTTACCCCTGTTAAACTGGCTGTTATCAAAGACAGAATAACAAATGCTGGCAAGGAAGCAGAGAAAAGGGAACATGTCTACACTGTTGGTGGGACTGTAAATTAATACAGCCATTATGAAACACATATGGAGATTTCTCAAAAAACTACAGATAGAACTACCATACGATATGTACCCAAAGGAATCATTGTGTCAAAGGGATCCCTGCACTCCAATATTTGTCACAGCTCTATTTACAATAGCCAAGTTATGGAAGCAACCTAAATGTCCATCACTGGATGACTGGATAAGGAAAATGTGGTGTACATACACAATGGAATACAATTCAACCATAAAAAAGAATGAAATTCTGCCATTCACAGCAACATGGATGAGGTTGGAGAAACTTATGTTAAGTAAAATAAGTTAGTCACAGAAAGAGAAATACTGCATGTCTTTACTCATAAGTAGGAGCACAAAGGGTTTTTGTGCCTGTCTCAGCTTCACACCTGATCCAGGGTGGCTGATGGGTGAGCCCAGGGGTTGCATCACCCTGGGTGACAACTCAGTTACAAATCTGGACCCAGACTCCATTTTCCTTGATGGCTGAGCTTTTCGTAGCCCAAAACTGAGGGTTCCTGAGGAAGGTCCCAGAAGGATGGGAGGAAGGTAGCCATGTGGGACCTTTGACCAGATTGTCCAGAGTCAAGGAGGTAGAAGGTAGAGTTCCCACACTATTTTAGAAACATCAGCTTTATTTAAAATCAGGGCCCACAGCGTGAGGCCATTCCGTCTGCCTATGGACATCGCCTGATGTCCTGGGCTTTCCCGTTCTCCTTCATTCTCTCCACTCCTGGTTCATTACCAAAACCTCTGGGCACAAGAGAAGGTCCCAGTTAGTGGACTGTCAGTGCTGAGCCCTGGCAAACTAAGTAGCACCCATGGGTGCAGGAAACCGAAGAGAGCTTTTGTTCCTTCAATCCCTATTTACTGAGCATGTGCCGTGCCCTCAACTCTGCACTGATAGATAGGATTAAGGGGAGGAGGTGGGGGACACCGTGCTGCCCAGAAATTGACGCCTTCCTCTACCACAAATCAGGAGTAGAGGGCAGATCCCTATTCTAGTTGGTGCCTGAAGGGAGGAGGCTGTGAGGACAGACAGCGACACAAGCCTGACCAGGTCAGCCTCGGGCACTGCTGATAGCCGAGAAAAGCAGCTACAGCTCAAGGCTGAGGTGACTCTTCTCTCCCCGCAGGCCGCCAGGCACCTTCTGTCCTGGGGGTACTTAATGGGTAGTAATATCAATTTCCAAGAGTTTTGTGAAGATTGAATGAGATAATGCTTATCAAGCCTCCACCACAGTGCCTGGTTAAAAAAACAGAAACAGCCAGTAAATGTTAGCTGATACCAATTTATCAACAGACTATGACCTCCCGGAGGGCAGGCGACATGTCTTTGTTTCTCCTGCCAGACCTGGCCCACAAAGGGCACTCAATTAATGTTTGTGGAATTAAAGAAGGAAGCTAAATCTGTTGGTGCTCAATGAAGACCTGAGATTTCTACAAATATAAAATACGTGAGTACAAACCTTAAGAAAGAAATTGGGGTGGAGCTGCCCTGTCCTGCGTCCACACACCCCATTCCTGCTTTCTCCCTTCCCATTCCTGTCTTTGTATATGATTTCTTTTCTCTTTTGAGGTGTCTTTCACTTTATGTAGTAAGAATAATAACAGAAGCTAATGACTGCTGAGTGCTAGCCATGCTCCAGGCATTCTCCCCATCTCTTCAGATGGACGAGGGTACTTCAGAAAGTTTGTGGAAGAATCGAATTGAAAGATAATACTAATCTTTCTGTGAACTTTTTAAAGTGCCCACGTATTATCCCAATGAATCCTCACAACATCCTCAGAGATAGACTCTGGCATGATCCCCATTTTAAGTTAAGCAAACTGAGGAATAGAGAGAGGTTAGGAGACTTGCCCCAAGTCACACAACTTGAACTTGATGGAACCAAGAAAGGAAGCCAGGCAGACTTTGTGCTCCAGACGCTCCAGAACAGGGGCTGAGAATGTGTGTGTGTGAGTGTGTGCGATGTGTGTGAGTGTTTGTGTGTGTGTACTGTGTTTGTAGTATGATGGGGATGTGTGTGCAGTATGAGATGCGTGCGTGTGGTGTGTGTGTGGTGTGTGTATGTGTAGTGTGTGTGTGAGAGACGTATATCGTGTGTGTGTGTGTAGGGAAGGTCAATGAAGGAGTGGGGGTGCTTGCCCTTGGCACACACCCCACCCCCTGCCACCCCTGCAGAGTTACCCACCTTCTAGCACTGCAGACCTTGCTCTTCCATACT